CTAGACTGCATCTTAGAGAACTTCAATCTCAAAAATTTTCCCGGAGGAGCATGCGCCCGAAACTCCCCAGAAAAGTGCGCCGTTCGCAGTCTCGATGGGCGCTATTGCGCTGATATCTTTAGGCCCCCTCTATCACAAAATCCTCCGTCCGCCACTGATTATTCATTCAAACGATTGAATAAATAATAATTTAAGCTAAAACATGCTTACTTCCATCGATGCTAAGGGGCATCTTCGATAGTGCAGGGTGTTATCCGCCGAGGACGTGCGGATAAATGCCTCCGAGATATCCATAATTCTTCAGATGATAAGAAAGCCGCATTCAACCATTTTTTTTTATTATTCATTCAAAATAATTGCTAGTTTAATATTAAGCTAAAACATGCTTACCTCCATCGATGCTAAGTTAATCGGCAAGCAGGATATAAAGTGTTGTTAAATTGATGTTCTGCACTTGTGGGAATTCAACGCCCAATATCGATAAATTAATCATGATTTTTATACATTATCTAGCTTTTTGAAATAATGACTGCAGCAGATTCTGAGGTAAACTTTTTTATTGGTTGGTTAGTCATTTAAGATACCGGCACAACAATTCTCTTGATCTTGGTCACAGCTGCGGATTGGATGCAATCATTAGCCTGCGAGCAGTCTCTTATTTTTCTTTGCAAAGTTACTGCAAGGGAAACCCAAGCACGTGAGGGGCGAAGCCGCGAGCCGCGATAAACGAGGGTCTGGTCCTAATCTCTTATTGTAACATAACGTCGTGGTTTGCAATCGCGCTATACGCTAGCTGAGAACTAGACGGATTTTAAGAGAAAAGGCGGACTGCAAGCAGTCTATGCAATCATCAAATGACGTAATTCAAAAGATTGAAGAGACACTGAACAATACCCACATCAGAGGGTCTCAATGGGGTTAACCGATAGACGTAAAACGGCCAAAAATTTAGTCCATAGCCTTAAAAATTGAAAAATTTTAACCGTTAGCCGTAAATAGGGTAAAAAAGAGTTAACCGTAAAAGAAATTGTTCTCTAGATTTGTTAATTTTAAGGAACTTGCTAAGCTCACTTACGGTTGTCTTTTTTATTTCCCGGCTACTTTGACTCCGTACGCACGTTAAGCTAAGCGTCTTTTAGGTGTTGACAAAGACCTAGGCTCCATTTCCGCCGCTCTCTCGAAGAACCAAGTTTTTTCCATGGCGAAAATCTGGCTTCTTGCTGGGGATTAATATCTGTGATTTTCAGGAGGTCGTGTCCTCGAAATACTAATGAAACNTTTTAAAAAAAAAAAAAAAAAAAAAAACAGGTTTATTAATATTTAACTCTTTGAAACAAAAGAAATTAATTTTCAACTTTTTTGTTAACCGTAACTGAAAAAAAAATTAACCGATAGCCGTAAAAGAGCCAAAATTTTAGCCGATAACCGTAAAAGCCACTACCCCATTGAGACCCTCACATCACACTGACACAATAGCGAACCAACACTGTTGTTTCCACGACAGCCAAAGGGCGATAAAACATATAACGCTAGCAAAACAACGTAACACAGATTCAGGCTAACTTCCAGAAAATTCTTTGCTGACAGTGAATATAAGTGTGTTTTAACTATTTATCTAGATACACGAAAAAATTTCGAGTTAGCGGAGAATTCGAGTTATCCGGGGTAAATTTCAGTGACATTTTGATCAAGGGAAAGGAAATTTTGTTCGAGTTAGCGGGGAATTCGAGTTATCCGAGAAAGAGTAATCGAGGTTCTACTTTAGTACTCATATTTGATACCCTCGGCCGTTTACTCGAAGTCCAACCAGCTGCCAAACAAATGCTGAAACGGATTAGACTTTGCCTTCAACATTTAAAGAAGGAAGTGATCATTAAAAGGCTGAAAATAGCGCCAAATTCTTTTCTGTCACATTCACAGTATCAGGTAACGGGCCCACGTATCGGATCTTCCGCTTATTCAAATTCACATGGAAATATGACTGCTCAAAAGCAACGCTTTCCCTCTTTTGCTTCTACCGTCTCTGCATTAGGTATTATATTGTACTGCGTTGGGTTTTTAAGAGTCGAATTGGAGCTGAACAATCAGAGAAAGAGATTCAGGCTCTTGAAAACATCGCCGAGACAGAACCGCCATCCGGCGATCCAAACATCGCCAAGTTTATCAAGGTTACTCGTGGTATGTATTTTTTTCAATGTAAAAATTTCATGCAGTTGTGAAATCGTTCTCCATTCCGAATCAAGAACATTTCAGGATACCCAGAAGGTCTAGATAGCAGCAACAATATCGATAGCCGCAAAAACATAACAACTTACCCGTAAGTTACCAGACATGTTTCGACGGAACATCCGTCATCCTCATTGTTACGGTGACTGTTACGTATTTGAGATCGCCGTTGAGTTTAAATCGCGCGCGATGTTACAAAGTTCGTTACATTGTGTTGTTAATATTGCGTACTGAAAAGTTTAAGTTAGTGACGCTTAGCTACTTACAAGGAGAGAGTCAGGTTAATGTGTCAGATGTGTTCCACCTTCTGGTTGAGGTCGGGTTTCTCTCATTTTTTGAACATGGATGAGTTAAGCTTTACAAATAATACATGGTACTTAGTAACTGCAAAGTCCAGGATCTCGAAGCAATCCGGTGTGCAGGATGTTTGAAAAGACTCTGAACGCTGCAGATGTCTAAAAACGTTCAAAGACCTGTCAGAAAGTAAGTGCTCGCACACTCATGTGCAGAAATGTCGGTTGTTTTTGCAGACATACCAAGCATTACAACTTGTACCCCTCGAAAATTTATGAACCACACGCAAGCGAAGCCCCTCAAGGACAGAATCTTTCACATTGAAAAGATTGATGATTTTGAAAGTAGTAAATACTAGCCTTATCTCAATAGGTTTACATAATTGATTAGCAACAAGCCAAGTTTGCGTATACTTCTCTGGTTGTACCGTGACTGTGAAGTGCCCAACGCAGGGAATTTTAAAGTAGAACTTAGCTGTTTCCTGGAGCTCGACTCCGGAATGAGGCTGTGTTTTCCCTCCCTTGACTGATGTCTGAATATATTTAGAAATATATTTGTTGAAAAGATTCTCAGAAAAGAGATACGTTCGCAAAATGACATACAATTTTTGATGGAACTCTATCCAAGTGATGTTTATCTTAAAGGTTAGGTTCTATCAATCAAGGTTTTGGTTAACCCCAATTTGTAGGTAAAGATGAAAAAACTCAGATAACTCGTGAGCAAACCTGTGAAAGTTTTTTATTTTTCCTTTAAACGCTGGTCACACTTAGGTGTGGGTCGGTGTTGCTGATCAGAAAATCTAGGAAAGGTAGAACATGGTCCGTTTCCCACTAGATTGTAAAGTGCATATTAGGGTGTTGATTGTTGATGTAATTGAAGAAAAGGGTTGCATCCTGTTCAGAGTGGAAAAGGCAGAATGTGTCGTCTACTCAGCGACGATAGAATAATACCTCTGAGTCCCCGTACTGTTCCAACCATATATTCTCATGGTGACTCATAGGGAACAGGGGCGAGAGGGTAGCCCATGGCTACACCATCCCCCTGATCGTAGAAAGAAATCTTGAACAGGAAGTGAGTTTCTTTGGCAGCAAACTCAAAAAGCCTTTTTAGCTCATCATTGCTAAGTTTCAACCCTGGATTACCCTCAGTAATATATTTGACGGCGAGGTTAATACATTCTTCTAGAGGGACATTAGTGAATATAGGCTTTCAACATCGAAGGAGATCATAAACTTCCCATGCTGAGATAGATCATTGATTTATATATAATTTTGTTCGGTGCTAAGCCTGACTTTTGATCACCAGCGAAACTTGAAGTAAATTGGTCAAGTTTACCATTGGCAAACACTTATTTAGATCATTTCCTGTAGAAAGACAAGAGATATGACTGAATCTTGCTCCATGCAAGATGCACTTTTTCTCACAAAATAGGGGACAAATATTTCATTAAAAAAAAAAAAAACAAGTGTTTCGCTTACCGCTATAAACTTAGTGCTAGGTTTTTCGTTTGAATCCTTGTAATTTAATTTGGCGGTTAAACTGAAAAAGACTTTTTCTCATCAGTCTCTTAAAAACTTGAAGTTTTCATAAGACCCCATGGTTTTGAGATAATGACGATTACGGCTGCTTGTTTCGTCGTCATGACTTAGACTAATTAAAACACAAAATGCATTTTAAACACTCCTCTGTAAATAACAGACGCAGTGAGACCGCTTAGCTCCCCGGTACCTGGCGACTAGGTTGTCTCTACCCAGCTAATTTTTTGCTTCCCCGGTCACTTCGCAATTCCCATTGTGACATCCATAAAAACAGGGTATTTGGTTGTCATATTTGTTTAAAAGAAGAAAAGATATAAAATAAAACATTACTACAAATGACAAAAAAAATCGGAGGGTACAGGTAATCGATCTCGCATAAAAAGATGTCCAACGTCTCCCAGGGCTTCCCACCATTTAGTTTTTTTTATGGAAGATACACAACTAAGAAAAAAAACCCATGGAAAATAAGCCAACCCGGTAGCGCTTTCTCCGAGAATCCGGAGAAAATATAGATTCTAATTCCTTTGGGTCTGTTACAGAGGGGTGTTCCTAATTAGCCAGCAAAAACACTGACGCAACAAAATTAGCCGGCAAGTGTTCACTAGCCTTAGTACTAATCTTGAAACGCCAAAATTGCTTTATCTACAACTAGAAGACGAAGACGGGGTCTTTCAGAGTGATAATGTTGCAGTAAAATTGCTGGTAATGTTACAGCTTGATTAAGTAAACAATAGAATAAACAACTTTTAAAATTTTACTGACAGAATTCCCCACCTATAAACATCATCGAGACTGTCGAAATGCGAATTCAGCTAATACTAATTTATAACGAGCAAAGATAAACCAACAGCCGTCGTAATAAAAGAAATTCTCCAACTTTTTTCAGAGGGAAGATCGCGCTCTCGCAAGTCAACAGGTGAGGAGAGTCTGACAGGTCCCCCAGGCCCTCCCGGTCCTCCAGGGCCGAGGGGGGAGAAAGGATACCGCGGACGAAAAGGGAAGAAAGGAGACAGAGGCTTTATAGGATCAACAGGAAAAAGTGGGCCAGTAGGAGCAAAAGGCGATGATGGACTGAAAGGGCAAAAAGGAAACCCAGGGCCCACTGGCACACCAGGAGCAAAAGGAGATAGGGGCATTATGGGACCATCAGGAGATAGCGGAAAGCAAGGTATCATGGGACAAGTAGGGCCCAAAGGCGATGCTGGTCTTAGAGGCCAAAAAGGAGACTTAGGGCCCCCTGGCATGCCGGGAGCCAAAGGAGAGCCTAGTCAACCGAAGACTGTTGTAGTTTCAAGTAAGTGATGATATAAAACTTTCATTGTCGGCACTCTCTTAAAGATAGCTATAATTCATTCAGGCTCCCTGTGCACCGTAAGAAACAGGAAAAAAGAAGACTTTAACTTCTTGCTTCCTAAGAAGGCGTTCAGATAGTGGAGTGTGGCGCGTTTCCTGCTCTGCACTTATCTTTGCAATGTCACCACTATCTGAACGCCTGAAGAAGGCGAGGTCGGATCAGGATTTTCATTATTTCTATTAGAGGACAGATCACGCCTTTACAAATTAACAATATCGTAGCTCATTCTTTCTTGGTTAAACGTGTCTTTCAGGTCCCCCAGGCCCACCAGGTCTACCTGGGCCGAGGGGAGAGAAGGGTGACCGGGGACAAAAAGGGAAAAGAGGATCACGTGGGAAAAGAGGCGATAGAGGTATTATGGGATCACCAGGAAATAGAGGAGCTACGGGGAAGAAAGGCGAAACTGGACTTAAGGGGCAAAGGGGAAACCCAGGGCCCACTGGCATGCCGGGAGACAAAGGAGATATAGGTGTTAATGGAACACCGGGAAAGAACGGCAAGCAAGGCATCGTGGGGCCAAAAAGGGATGCTGGAGAAAAAGGCCAAAAGGGAGATGCAGGGTCCGCTGGAATACCAGGAGCCAAAGGAGCTAGAGGTGTTAACGGAACACCGGGAAAGAACGGCAAGCAAGGCATCATGGGGCAAAAAGGTGATGCTGGACACACAAGGGACAAAAGGGAGACACAGGGCCCACTGGCATGAAGGGAGTCAAGGGAGATAAAGGTATTAATGGGACACCCGGAAAGAGTGGCAAGCAAGGCATCATGGGGCCTAAAGGGCCAAAAGGCGAAGTTGGATTCAACGGCCAAAAGGGACAAAAAGGAGAGCCAAGTCAAAGCAGCAGCCGAAGTAAGTGTTAAAATCAGACTATTAATGCTGACTTTGCATGTTCCTTCTGGGGTGATCTTGCAGCTCTCGAATAACCCCACGGGACTGGAGTGCAACCGGTTGAGAAAACAATAAACAAACATGGAACCTAGCCCGAAAACAAAAGAGCTGAGACCCGTATAAGGGGTCCAACTAAATTAGAAGTTCTGAAGAGCTGCAAGGCTACTGTGTACTGTGTCAATTTGGTAATTCTCTTGTTCTGCACTGTGCATCACCTACTTCCCTTAACCTGGTTCTAAGTCTGACCTTAACAACTATCGATCGGCGACCTACATCTGCTATTCCTACCGTGGCCAAATTTTCGACAAGAATATATATGACTAACTATATCACTATCTGAATGTAAATGGTTTATTAAACGGCGGCCAGTCTGGTTTCCGCTCGTTACACAGCACTCTTACTGTCTTGTTAGAGACAAACGATAGCTGGTGTGTCAATATTGACAGAGGTTTTCTTAATGGCGTAATCTTTATTGATTTGAGGAGGCCTTTGACACTAATGACCACGATGTAATTCTGAAAAAACGTGCTACGTACGAAGTTGATCAAGACGCCTTGAATTGGTTTAAATCTTAACTAATCGTGTGCAAAATGTAAACAGTCATCTTAATAATCGGCCCTCTTCTTTTCTCGATCTATATAAATGATCTTCCAAATTGTATGAATGCCGGCTCTCCTAGAATGTATGCCGACGATACTAATGTTACCTTTTCTGCAGCTTCTTACCTGATCTTGAGTCCCAAATCAATAGTGACCTGAAGTACATACTAATCTGGATACTAATCGAGTTCCAGATGTCTTCTTAACTCTCTTGTTTGGGATAATTTATCGTTTAGAAGGGCTAAACAAAAGGCTATTTTCCCAACGCCAAGAAAAAATTGACGCCCCAAAACCAAGAACTGATTACCTGAAGAGTAGCTTTAGTAACAGTGGCGCACTTCTGTGGAAAAAACTTCCTGAGGAAATCATTTTGTTAAGATTTTGTTTAAGAGAAGTTCCTATGGATGATTTTCTGATCAGTAGTCTCACACGGCAAATATGTAAAACAGTTTTGAGAATTTTTAGTTAATTTCCTATGTCTGACTGATGTTTTTAACCGTGTAGAAGTTATCATTCATCCATTCACCTGCTCACATGGTGACATCAAAGGCATCGGCAATAATTGCCAGCCGCCTGAGGAGGAGTAACAAGGACCACTTTTGTAGTCAGAAAAAATACTCCTTCTAGTTTAAAAAGCTGTTGTTCTTAAAACTTGCTCTGGTCCCTTTGTGTAGAATAATTATTTCAGGCCGACATTGCCCTTTTGTGGCTTGTTGCAACGAAACGAAAACGGTGAAACCCCTTTAATCCTATTGGTAAAATTTACTCGTGATGGGTATGTTTCGTACCTCGGTTTTGGGTACTACTCGGGTTGAAGACACACCAGGAAAATAATGTCAACGGGATCTACCAGTTGTTTTTGAACTACTTTAATGTCACAATTTCCAATCTCGCGACAACTAGCTAGATGTGTATATGCGTAGTCAACTGAAAATAAAGGCATACATTGCATTGCTTACTTGTGAATCGACTATAAAAGCTTGATAAATCGAATCTAACTGAAAATGAAATCAGCAAACTTTCTTCAACAAATGTGAACATACTTACAATTCTGTAAGGCGTTATCCCGTGATGACACGGCTATTTTCCTATCTTATTTGAAGAAAAGGTATAAGACACTGTTTTCAATAACAGGATTCTTTCTCACAGACCCTTCAATTTCTCTAATCACGCTAGTCCCACGAGCGAGCTGAAAACTGATTGGCTAAATTCTAAGAAAGAATAATAATCTTGCGTGTCCGGTTTTATCGCTAATAAAAACAATCAAAAAAAATACCGTGACTCAAAACTAATTACAGCTGTCAACGGAGTGCAAAACACTCGGCCCCAGTGCGGAAATTGGGGACCTAATTGAGCAACGATCAAATTAGCACGAAGTTAAACTCAGCTATATTTTATCAGTTCAGTGTTCTGGAGTAATAAATGTTTCTATTATTGTTCTTCTCCACAAAGCTCTTGCTTTGTAGCAATAACGCATAATTTGTGTATGGGGCGATCGTACTCGCCATTCTGGGTTCTGATGCGCACCTTCCTGACTAATCCGTCCTCCCCTGGGTAGGTGTCTACAATCAGCGCCATCTCCCACTGTAGTCTCTTCCGATGTGGGTTGAGCTCGAGGACCAAATCGCCGATTTTGACGTTCTCTCTTTTACGAAACCACTTGTTCCGCGGCAGCAACGATGGAGCAAAGTACTTCATCCAGCAAGTCCAATATTCGGCAACTCTGTTTTGGACACTCCTTATTAAATGCCTCGGATTAACTCTGGTTTCTTGCTCGGGCTGAGGAGGACAGCTGTGACGACCAATTAGGATGTCGTTCGGGGTAATAGGTGGTTCCTCCCAGACGTCTTCGGAACTTGGGTAGAGGGGCCGACTGTTGATCATGTAGGTAACTTCAGCCAGGAACGTTCTCCACTGTTCTTCAGTGAACGCTTGATTCTTACATACACTGTTGAGGGCTTGCCTGGCGGACTTAATCAGCGATTCGACAACCCCATTTTGGTGACTCGCATGTGGGACGTTCCACTGCCATTCAAAATCACAGACAAATTCTTCTGAAAGGATGCTTTGTATCTTGGGGATGTCCCAATTCTGCATTACCTCTCTCAGGTATTCCTGTGCCCCTACAAAGTTGGAGCCTCGGTCTGACCAGCAGACGTTTGGGTGTCCGCGCAAACATGCGAATCGACGAAAGGCCATTAGGAAGGCTTCGGTTGACTTGTCAGTTACGAGTTCCAGGTGAACCGCTCGCGTTGTTGCACATGTGAAAATTATTATCTGGGCTTCTTGAAGTGTTCTTCGGTTCAGTCTGATCTGCAGTGGCCCGAACATGTCCATAGCGGTGTTCGAGAATGGAGGAAATCCGGCTGCTACCCGCAAACTTGGCAGTTGACCCATAAGCTGTTGTAGGGGTTTCTTGCGCAGTTTCCGACAGTCGACACACTTGCTGACCACGGACTTAGCCATTTTTCTGAGCCCAATAATCCAAAGCGTTCGCCTTGCTTCGTGCATGAGACTCTTGTAACCGCAATGTCCGCGTTTCTGGTGCAAGTGTCGTAAAAGGAGGATTGCTAGTGTATGATCTCTGGGCAGCACAACGGGGTTCCTCATGTCCTTTGGTAGGATCCTGGCATTTTCAAGGCGGCCACGAGCTCTGATTAGCCCTTCCTCGTCCGTTGTGGCGATCAGCTTTTCGTCAAGTTGTGACACATCTAGGTGGAGCTGACTCCATTTCAAGAGTTGCAATTCTGAACGCTTTAGATCCTGGACTGTTAGGGAGCTGTTGGGTACAGCCCTACGTCTTGTAATGTCAACAAAACGATGAACGTAAGCAAGGACTCTGCGAATTTTTGTGAACGTCGAGCAGCTTTGCAATAAGTAGCAAAAGATAGGGTTGTCCTCTTTCTCTTTGTGAACTGAGGCAGCATGAAACTCTCTACTGTTGTCGTGCCATTTCGTTGCAGCCTTCATTTCTTTTAAAGTCTCTTTTCGATCCTGGTGAGGGTTCTGGTCCTCGTCCTCAAATTTTGGCCATTCCGTCTCTGGCAACTTTAGAAACGACGGCCCCGAGATCCAACTTTCGAGGTCACCCGGAGCAATTCCCCTGGTAAGGGCATCTGCAGGGTTGTACTTGGATTTGATGTAGCGGAATTGTTCTGATCCCACTGTTTCTTGGATTTCTGCCACCCTAACTGATACAAACGGTCTGAATTCTCGAGGTGGGGTCTTGATCCACGTTAAGACTGTTCGAGAGTCTGTCCAGAAAGTCCTATCGCATTCGTGAAAATTAACAAAGGCCAGCGCCTCCTGGCATGTGTTGTAAATTCGCGTAAGAGCTAGACACCCCAAGAGTTCAAGTCGGGGAATAGTTTTCCGTTTCAGCGGGGCGACAAAGGGCTTGACAATAACTGGAACGCATTGATGACTTCCATCCTGCAGCTTCCAACGGAGAAAAATGGCGGCTCCATACCCCAGTTCTCCTCCGTCCGCAAAACCATGTACTTGAGGTGGACCTATTGCATGATCTGGTTTTAGCTTCCGGTCAAATTTGAAAGATAGAAGTTGGTTTATTGCTTCTTCGTTTTCCTTCCATTCTTGTTGGATTGCTTCTGGGAGGATGTCGTCCCAACCATATCCGGTACTCCACAGTTCTTGGAGGTCAATTCGGTACTTAATCGTCACAGGCGCGACGAGTCCAATAGGGTCCCATACTTGAGCCAATAGGGCGAGGCACGATCTCTTTGTGAAATCTTCTTTCTTTCTCACAACTGAGTCTTTCTTTAGGGCGAATGTGTCTTCTTGCTTGTCCCACTTGTGACCAAGCAAATCTGTATATCGTTCACCGCTGGTTTGGTCGACTTCCTGGCTGTTTGAATGCCACGCCTTTATCTGGAACTGACCCTTTCCAAGCACTTCGTCAATTGTAGTTGTGACATGCTTGGCTTCAGCAGCGGTTGGTCTGGATCCACCGATATCATCAACGTACATTCGCTCCTGAAGTTCCTTCGCCGCCTCAGGGAACTCCAGTTGGGAAGCTTTCGCCAGGATGTTGATGGCATTCGAAGCGATATCTGGAGCTGGCTTGTCCCCGAA